AGTCCTTCCTGGAGGATGCACACTGGAAACAACGTGGGGATGGGAGGTGTGCAAATCCTGGCTGACAGCGAGCCCCGCGCCCCGCTCGGAACCACGCTCCTGGGAACCTGCTCGGGGAGAGGTATGGAGCCCAAGGAGCCGCGCAGACACAGCCCGGGAAAGGAGACACCACCTCCTTCTTGCAGCGTAACCAAAAGAAATGAGGTGCTCTGCAAGGATGAGGAGCAACTGCTGAAATAATTAGTGCAGGTTGGTGCTAAGGACACGTGTGCGTTAATGAGGAGAGCACCTGCCCGGGCGTGGCAGGCCAGCTCGGTCTCACCCCATGTCCCGCTGCGGAAGGCACGGTGTCACCGGCTGCCAGCGCACTGCAGGGGTCACACAGCCACTCAAAGGGAGCCACAAACCCGGTGGGGAGGAGTGTTCAGTCCAGGCTCAGCATCCCAGAGGTAAAACCGTCTGGTGGTGGGTGAGCTTCCTGCGTGGGGAGGAGGATTTTCGGGGGGCAATTTGCAATTTCAGCAGAAGTCTTGGCGTCAGCAGTGATTAACTTCCTCCCCCAGGCCCATCTGAGACCCAGATGGGAGGCGTAAGCCAGCCCGTCCCGAGTCTTTTGGTGTTTGCAACTTAAATCTGGGAGCAGGCTTCAGTAAGAAATTGCTTTTGCTTTCCTGAAGAGTCACCCCACATCCTGCAATCGGTGTTTGCAGCACGAAACCCCCCGTCTGCGTCTCTCCCCAGTGACAGTGCCGTGGTGAGCCACCTTCACCAGATGTTGGTATGGGCCACCTGGCTAACTCCTAATCCCCTGTCCGAGGGAGACAATCAGGCCACCCAACACTGCCGAGACAACCCGAGTGACAAACAACTCAAAGGTAACAAAAGGACTGGGATATAGCAATACAGAAACATGACCTTGCTTTGAATCTTCTGCCTTTTGGTTGCTTACAACGGAGATGTCCAAAAAAAAAACCAGCAGTTGGGAAAAATTAAGTCATCCTATTTACAAGTTTATATGCACTTGAAATACATAATTGAGCCCCATCCCTCTGATAATGCACGTCAGGCACCCACAGAGAGAATGTGGCTCGAGCGGTCATCAAAAAAATCTTTAAAGGTTTTGTTGTTTTTTTTTTTTCTTTAAAAAAAATAAGTTATTTTAGACCTGACAAATCACTTGCCAAAGGGAAGCAGCTGTTAAACAGAAGCAGTTACTCAGTTATACAAGAGCAAAGAAAGCATCACTCAATGAGCTTTAGAGAGAGGCTTGTATAACGACGGAGGCAATTTCAAAAGCTTTAGGAAACTCACTCTCCAGCTAACGGTTGTTTGTCAGCTTTCAGCCTGCACCAACCCAGCTTTCAAAGCTCTGGGGTTTCTCACGGTGCCTGGCCGGCTGATGGCAGGACACGACACCCTCCAGCAGCTCACCTGTGTAAGCTTCTGCCGAGGGGTGGTGGTGGTGGCTGTGAGGGCTCTGCTGCAGACTCACCCCAGGATCTCAGTGGTAAGTTGATGGCAGGTCAGTGGGAGGAAGGCAGCGTGGGGCAGGGGGAGGTCGGCCGGGGCTCCCCTCCCTCGCCGGGGCTGCGTGGGGTTTCACGCCACCACCGCTCCTCCCGGTAACGCTTTGGGCTGGCGACGTGGTTTGTAATGCTCAGGGAATTAATTAATCCTTCCCCGTCATCCCATCCTCCCCAGGGCTCGCTGCTCTGTGTCCGCATCCGACCGCGGGCAGCTGGGGATCGCTGCCGCCAGCTCCTACCTGCACGGGGTGGAAGCATAGGGGTCAAGTCCCCCTCCAGCTGCTGAGGTCCAGACCTGGAGCCCAGGTCCAGATTGCACCGCACTGGGGGAGAAAGGCAGCTCCAGTCCTCCACCCCCCCTCCCCAGAGCCAGGTGAGACGCCGGCAGAGCCGAGCTGTGGTCCTCAGAGGAGAACGGTGAGAGCTGGGTGCGGGTTTTCTTGCCGGGGATCTCTGTGGGCGGACGGAAACGGTGAGAGTTTCATTTCCCCGTGCTGAGGGGGCAGGGAGGGGGCGTCCAAGGAAGTTCAGTCCATCACAGGACAAAAAACAGGATGAGCACCACCAGTAAGATGACGAAGAGGATGATAATTGCACACCACTGCCGTCGATCTGGAAAGGAAAGGAAGTGTCAGTCTTCCTGCTTTAAGAGGAGAGGAAAACCCGGGGAAGAGCTTTTCTTCACTGTACTCCTAGGAGCCCAATTTCAGCTTAAAGAAGCCAAAGCAGCAGCAGCTCCTTTGGCAGCACGCCCCGCTGCAGCCCATGGGGCACCAGCCTTTCTCCTCCAGGATACATCTGGTTTTGGGGACAGCTGTGGGAATTTTGAGGCTTCTCCCCAACCAAGTTCAAACAGATTTGATAAGCCAGTTCAAAAACAATCAGGAGGAACAAGCAGAGAGCTGCCGTGTGTTGCTGCTCGTTCGTGGAGTAAACTCTTTGCTAGAGGAACAAGAAGGGGCCTGGTGAAAGCTGCCGGGAAGAGTTTGTGGCAGGTCCCATTAGGAATGGGGTTTGCCCTGGACATCTTTGCTCCTTGCTGGCCCCATGCACTGGCTGCAGAAGCTCAACGCTGCATCACCTCTGAGAGCTGCTATCTGCTCACAGCCATGTCTGTCATGGTGGAGAGAAAGCCCCTGTGAGACGAAGGTGCAGCCGCAGGGACAGGGCTGCTGGCACCCCTCAACTTCTGGGCACAGCAGCTACCCCAGAAAGAGCCCTCCTGGTCCCACCTGGCATGTGGGATGGCAGGGATAGCAGAAATGCTCTTTCACCTCTCAGAAGCAACGATCAAAGTGTTTTTCCCAGAGGAAAGGGCAGATACACGAGGTTTGCCAGCGGTTCTGCTGCCACTGGGCTACTGGTGACCCAAAGTGCACTGTCAGCACTCCAAATGGTCTCTCTAGGGCCGTATTTCCACAACCTCATGAATCCCCCTGGCCAGTCTAATCCTGCAGAGCAGGAACACTCCTCCTGCCTCGCTGCTGCCTTCACAAGCTACCTGAGCACCCACGGGAGAGGGATAAGGGAGGAGGTGACCGCCAGGCGTGCTCTGGTGGCAGGGACTTCCCAGCAGGCACGCTGGGCTTCCTGTTTGCTCTGCCCCGGCACCCTGCCAGCCCACCAGCTTCAGGCACAGCCTTATAAGGACTTTTCTTGTGGGTTCAACCTCCCCCCCAGCACAGAAATTGCTTCTTTCCTCCACCAGCTGAGATGTATCTGACCTGAAAAGAGGCCTACGGCCAGCAGGCACCAGCAGCCTGAGGGCAGGTGGGATTTGGGAAGGGGCTTGCTGCAGGCAAGCGTTTGGTGTGGGGGGAAGGCACACATGGTGGTGAGTGTTTTATGGCACCTTGAAAGCTTTTGTTCTGCAGGCAGCCTGGGAAACTGCAGCAGAGCTTCCCCTCCTACCATCTAGAGGGGGATTTTCCCACCCCAGCAGTAGCAGCATAAATAGAAAGGCATCTGTGAGTGAAACAAAGGCCAAGGACAGGCTGCAGAGCAGTGTCTGGGCAGGAGCACCTGCAGGGCTTGGAACTCTTCCCCCTCTTTCAAGCACCGAGAGCTGCTCCCTCCCCTCTGCTCGGGTCTGGGATGGCTGCTGGTGGGTGGGAGCACGTTGCATCCCAGCCAGAAGATCCGAGGGCTTGTCTCTCCCTTTCCAGGAGTGGATCCCACTTCCCAGGACCTACCGCTCGTCATGTGAGACACTTTGGCGAGCTTCTTCATGACGTTATCCAGCCGCGACTGAGTGCTGTCCAACTCGTGGGAGAAGTCATCCAGCATCCTGGGGACAGAGAAGCATGGCACTTGTCAACCAGCAGCACATCCCTTCGGGATTTCTCAGCCCCCCTCACACAGGCTGATCACAACACCCATGTGTGACCAGTGTATCACACCTTGGCAGAGAAATGCAACACAGACCAGTCTCCTGAAATCACCCAAGGAGGGGGAAAAAACCCTGTTGAAGCAGCAGCTCTGCTTTGGTGGCAAGTGGGAAGTCATTTGGGACTCCTGTCAGACTGGTCCCCCTCCACGTGCTCGTGGCTGAGCTCTGGGCATCCCTGCAAGGTGAGGAGTGGGGGTTCTCCTCCTTTTAAGAGCAAAGTGCCATTTATAATTTCTGATTAGCAGAGAGTGGTTAGATTGATCTAGTTGCCAGCTTGGACTTTACATCTCTTTTCTTGTTCAGTGCTTGCAGTTGAAGGTAAAATCTTGTTCCAGTCATCCAGCAATCAGGAATGAGATATGCAATTGCTTTTAAGGTGCTTTTTAAGCTCCACATGGAAGTTACTCCTCTCCTTCCTCTACACAGTGACTGTAATGGATCTGAAAGCCTTCCTGAAGCTGTGCTTTGTCCATGCCAAGAACTCATTTGAAAAGAAACAAGCATGTCCAGAATCTGGGTACCAATTCAATCGTCTCCAGACAGCGTGACTTTAAAGCTTAACACGTTTAAAAGCACAGCTTCCTTCATTTGGAGGTCTAGGGCACTTGTTAAACCTTCATTCAGTATGGAAAAAGAAGGAGTTGTAAAAAAACTCCTACTGCAGTACTTATCTGCTCCTGTCTAGCAAGCACAGATGGCTCACATGATGTTCTGAAAATGGACACACCACACTGATCTACTTCTGTGAGAGCAGAAGACTCTCTCATGCTGTGAGACTTCATACAGGAGGTGGGTTTAAACCTCCTCCTCTCCATCAAAGAAGTCATCACTTCACAAAGAACACTGCCCTCCAGACTCCCCTTCAGCCAAATGAAGAGAGGGTTTTAGGCATGACCCCTTCAAGCCTCTCTGGAATTGGTAGCTGTTAGCCTGCCCTGCATAACTGGAAACTTTATGCACTTGTTTGCAAAGGAGGAGAACTGGGAAAGAAATCTAATTTCTATGTAAATGATGCATGCAAATTACTTTGTGAGCTACCCTTTAACCCTTTGCGTGGGCGAGGGTTATTTTTAGCTTTAACTATCAATAGCAGCTCTGTGCTGTGTGTTTCAGAGCGGCAAGGCAGAGCTGAGAGCTGCTGGGTCAAGCAGTTATCCAGGGGCAGCACAAAACCCTGTGGAGTGGGAAAGCACCCAGTATCCCCATTGCACAGCACCTCCCTCCCTTATCTGGCACTGCTGGCAGCCTGAAGCCATGGAGTGTAACTGTGAGCCTTAGGGGGAGTGTTCAAAATGGAGAGAGAAGGAAAGGTAAACTGGCAGCTAAGCCTGCCCTAGGCACAGGCTTTCAAATGAATGAGACTGTGGTGGGATCCTTGCAGGCTGCAGTGAGAAATGCTTTCCACTGCCTAAAATCAAAGGCTGGCTAGGAGAAGCTGCCTGAGGGATTAGTAAATTCCAGGCCCTCACAGGGGCAGAGATATGTGTGTGAGGACTCCCACCAGGTTTTCAGCTGCTGCTGCTGCCGCTGTGCTCCTCACTGACTGAGAGCAGTTGCTGGTTTCACCGCATTTAAATCTCCCGCAGTCCAGGAGATTTAAACGCGGTGATAAGATCCGGGGAGATCTTATAGCGGCCTTCCAGTACCTGAAGGGCCTACAAGAAAGCTGGGGAAGGACTTTTCATAAGGGCAGTTAGTGACAAAACAAGGGGAAATGGGTTTAAACTGAAAGAGGGGAGGTTTAGATTAGATATTAGGAAGAAGTTCTTCACTGTGAGGGTGGTGAGACACTGGCCCAGGTTTCTCAAGGAAGTTGTTGATGCCCCCTCCCTGGAAGTGTTGAAGGCCAGGCTGGATGAGGCTTTGAGCAACCTGGTCTAGTGGAAGGTGTCCCTGCTGATGGCAGGGGGGTTGGAACTAGATGATCTGTAAGGTCCCTTCCAATCCAAGCCATTCTATGATTCAGCGCCGCGTCTCACACTTACACCGCCTGCTCCTCCAGCTCCCCGCCGATGCGCTGGGACATGTTCTTCAGCACCCCGATGCTGCCAGAGACCAGCTCCAACTGCTCATCCTGCTGCTCCACAATCAACTGAGGCCAAAGAGAAGGGAAACGAGAAATTACAGGTCTGCCATCTCCTGTAGCTGGGTGAGAGCCAGTCGATCAGGTGGATGGACACTTGTTGCTTGGCCAAGATCAGCTGCAGGGTTTGGACACAGACCTAAGCCACTGGGAATGAGGACCAAGTTCCTAAGAAATGCTGGAGAAGTGACAGCCACGGGAGAGCCTCCCCGGCATGACATCCCTGCAGCACAGCTGGCTGCAGTGTCCTGACCTCCCTGCAAATCCAACCTCAGCTCAGCCAGCTCTCCTCTCTCCTCTGCTGCACCCATGGCTGAGCCGACTGTTTAAAGCCAAAGGGGATGGTCAGCAACACCTCCGCAAGCCCTCCTGCCCGCAGCGGGCACCAGGGAGCCACGCTGATGCCGTGCCTGGGAAATGCAACCTGGAACACGCTGCAGCTACCAAGGGGTTGATGTGAGTAAAAAGGCTGTTGCACCTTCTACAGCTAAAAATAGCAAGTCTGGCTCCAAATGTGCCAAAGGAATCGGTCTGATGATGTTTTAAGTAGTTTTCAGGGCACAGTCACACTAAGGATTAGGTTTACCCTAGTTACCTACTTCTGAATCTATTCATCTTCCTCGAGTCACTGGGTAAAACTTGTCTGAAAGCCGGGGAGGTGTCACCAGTCAGGAGCTTGAGCAGAGTTTGCTGCCTCTGAGGAGCCACCTGTTCAAAGGCCTGTGTTTGGGTGGGCTGCTGCAGGCGGGTCTGCGCGCTGCCCGGGCGCTTCTCCCGAGGAACTCTGCCAGTGCCGGGGGAAGCACCTCACCAGGGCTTCTCACAAAGCCCTCGTGCAAGGCTTTCTCACGAATCTCATGTTGACAAAGGCAGGAAAAGGAAGCAGGCACGTGCTCCAGCTCCCAGCCCGTTCTGATGAAGATGCACACAAACAGCAGCTCATTTTTTAACCAGGGGAAGTTGTGTAAGAGAAACGGGCTCTCTTCTGTTTGCAAAGTTTTTACTCTCCCGAGGATTTCAGCAATCCCTGTAGTCTTAAAGCTTAGTGTGATACATCTTACAGATCATCTTGTTTGCCTTCTGCACAGAGCAGAAGACCCAAGCCTCAAGTATTCAAATCTCTGCTCCAAGAGGCACCCAAAGCTGTGCTGTACAGGAAAGGCATGCACAGGTATATGCAGCAAGCGACGAGGAGGGCTCTCAGGCTCCTGGACCTAAACCAGCCAAGAACTGGATTTTTAAAGGTTTTTTTTTGTTCTTGCAGCCTGTACCTCAACCCCCTGGCACCCATTTGGCAAGCAAAGGTATTTAGTCTGTGTGGTGCCAGCTGCCTTACCTGTTGCTGAGCTTGCTGCTCCTCAATGAAGTGTGAATTTGCTAATTGCAGCTCCCGGTCCAGGCGGCTGTATTTGTCAGGCCCAGAGCTCCAACTCTGACTCCCGCTTTCTCCCAGGAGTGCCTAAACAGATGCAGAGAGCCTTTAGCAACGCTCTTGTGCCTACTCACAGCCCAGTGTAGACGGTGTAGTGTGAAGGCAGACAAGGCAATACTCCTGTACACACGCACACACACACACACAGAGCATCCTTTTCCTCCTGCTCTATTGCTACTCAGCCGGAGCGCTGTCACAGACTAAATGCCGTGACAAAACGCCAGCCTGGGAAGTCCCTGCAGCCTGACATTGCAGATGTGCCTCTCCAGCAGCAGGAGAGCTGGACTATGACTGACAGGCAGTGCAGGCAGGAGGTCTGCACAGCACAAAGGACTAGCAAAGATCTCCTCAAGAGGCAGCACGGTGTGCTAGGACATGTAGGGAAGTATCCAGATATATTGTGTTAACACACGTGTAACTCGAACTGAACACTCTGCTACTAATGACAGGGGCTTCAGAGGCTCTGGATGAAGCACTCAACCAGTTCAGCTGACAGTAAAACAGTGCAATATAGAACCACAGCAGCGTTGTACGCTCATGTTCTTTGATTTAGGCTACCTGTTCTTCCAGCACTCTGTTCAGCTGCCAGCACACAAGATGACACTTGTCACCTGCTCTACAACCTGAACAGAGAAGCTTCTGCAAAGGCAGCAGAGATGTGGCTTTCCAGCTGAGTAAGTCTGGTCCCTGGAAGGGGAGTAACACAAGCAGCAGATGGAGAGTGGAGAATGAATGTAGCCCACAGGTGAGGAGCTGAGCCCTGCAGCACTGTGAACGGGTTAGGGAGCTCTGCCCACCAGTGTGGAGGAGGCTGACTTGAAACGAGATGGTCTTGCAGCTTCTGGATATGGGCAGGAGGGGACAACTGAGTCTTTGTGAAGGCTTTTGTGAGGCTAAAAACAAGACTGTTTGTATGGTTCATCTGCCCTACCAGGTTCAAGGCGGGGTGAGGAAAGCTGAGGGACTGACCGCGCAGGAAGCCAGCAGGACATCTGGCTTTGTCTGCTGCCGAGACACTGAGCAAGCTCCTGGTTCTCTCCCGTTCGTGGCAAGCGCAGCTCCTGCTTATTTAATGTGATGCACTTGTTTTGCTGCAGCTTCAACAGAAAGGCCTCTGCCAGCCTCAGCCTGTGAGGGTCAGGTCGCCATCAGCCTGTCTCAGACACAGAGGCGCACTGGAAAAGCCACTGCAGCCCAGGCTTCGTGGTCTGGAGGGAAGGCAAGGGGCTGGGGAAGGGAGAGGAAGATGGCAAAGGGAAGCGAGTTTTCCTGACCAGATGTCACCACATGAGCTGGGCCATCTGGTCTCCTGCAGCTAGCAGGAACTTTGTGCAAAGGAAAGCAGCAAAACACATAGACAGCTGCAGACTTGTCTGAGCAAGGGTGCAAGGGACTTTGCTTCTTCAAGTGTTTGCCAAGCACGTCAGTTAACCCCATAACAAGCTCGGGAATCAGCTCTGTGCTTCTCAGTAGCTTGTCACAGTTTGTCACTTTTCAGTAAGACCGATGCAGCCAGGTAAGTTCTTTGTACAAAGCAGACACCAACTTTTCCTGAGGTAGCTCTGAGATCTCCTTACAGCCTCCCCATCAGCCAGGGAGATGGCTGACAAGCTGCATCTATTTCTATTTCTTAGATTACAAGTGCAGACAACCTGAGACTCCTTGAGTTTTTTCCACCTTCTTACATGGCTAACTATTACCAGAGAGGCAGCTGTGCGAAAGGACGTTGCAGCATCTTGGCTCCTAAACACAGCAGAGAGCAGGATTACATTCCCTGACATGGATTCTGAGTCTCTTCCCCCCCGAGGAGGAGGAGGGAGATTCCCCTTTCTGTGGGATGATGCAACACTGACAGTTGTACACCACCAGATCTGAAGACAGAGACAGATGGTGAGTGCTGACTTATTTGAGAGACAGGCTTGGAAAAGGGTGGCAGCAACGTGCCTGAGAGAACCAGCTCTCTCAGGTCAGCAAAACACAGACAGTTCACACACAGAGCTTTGCTGCAGCATGCAAGCCCCCTTCCCAGAACAAAGATTTTTAAGGGCATGACCTACAGCCAGGATATCCATTGTAATTACAGCTTTTACGCAGTTTTGATCACTATACACTCTACCCTACAATGTGGGGGCTTGGAGTTAGTGAAAATGGAAGTTTCACCTAAAACATACCTTAAGACATCAGCTGCAAGAGCTGATAAATCCTCCTCACTCCTTCAAGCAGCAAACAGCCACTCCATTCACTTCACTTGCCTGTTTCTGGTTCTCACCTGCCTGTTCTTTCTCTCAGCCAGCGCTTGCACGGAGGAGTTTGACATCTGATCCTTCATTTCCTGTTTGTTCAATGAAAGAAGAAGTAAGTGAGCACTGGATTTGAGGGGACAGGCAGTTTCAGGGTGCTACAGGGCTGTCTATACCCAGCAAGGCTTCTTTAGGGGGAGTGAGGGGAGATTTTTTCTTTGAAAATGAACAGTTTTGAAGAGTCTGGAAGGATACTGTAGAAAGCTTCATCACAGTTCATCATTTTACTAACAACAGAATCAATGTCAATGGTATATTTTTAAAAAATTCCTTATTTACTACTCATTTTGCTCCACTACAGCCAAAACCACTGTGTTTTGTATAATATTAAATTAATGTTGTCATTCATAGGCTGTAAGGAAGAGGCATGTTCTTCACGGTCTTGGAAGCCTGTAACCTCCTGCACTTTTATTCCCAGTTGCATCTGGTTTTATAATACATAGGAGAGAGATTTCCTGTCCTGTTGCAATCCTCTCTGACTGTGCCTACAGTTTCTCTTTTATCAGTTCAGTGAAACTATCACACAGCTGCATAACACCACTAACAAATTTAATTTAACAGTAAGATGCTGCTCCAAACCCCATAAACCAGCAGTTTTCAGCCAGAAAAAGGACCACAGAGCAGGCTTGCCTGATCCTGCCCATTTGGGAGTGGACTACACGAGGGCAAGGCAGCTACCTGGGGTCAACGTGGTTCTGGGATCAGTTCCCAGGCACTGAGCCTCAGGAACTGCATCCAGACCGCAGGACTGCAGGTAGGGTAACGAGCTTGCTGCCAGCCATGGCAATGCATTTCATGAAGCAGGAACATCAGAGTCATGAGGGGCAGCAGAAACTAAGCTATGCTCAGTACAGCTATTAATAGGGAGAAAACTTCCTCATGGGCAGCTTGTTACCAGGCAGTAAAGCTTTTGGGAAGATGTCTGTTCTCTATTTATTACCACCAAATTGTTAAAATCTTCCTTTTGCTTCTGAAGTATGAGCTTAAACGAAAATAAATAAATAAATAAATAAATCTTCCCTGAGTTAAAAATAAATCTAGTGGTTGTTTGGACTGTTTTGTAGCAGTAGGAAGTTGAAGTCACCAGGTCAATAACACTAAGCTTTAACCATCTGTCAGTGTTCAAAGCAGACTCTCTGTTTGTGAAACTAGTGCTACAAAAGCACAGGACAGTCGTGATTTCTTTCAGCTCTGAGGAGAGGCTCCAGCCTCCCCTGCCTCACAGCGGGGTTTTTACCTTTCTTCCCCAGTTACCACAGGTTCTCAGGCTTGCTGCTGCAAGAGAGGTGTGAAGATTTTAAAGGGCAGAGCAGAAAAGAAGGGTATGCCATGGGGCACCTGCACCCTCGCAGCCCCAAACCTGACTGGGAAGCCCCAGGAGGGAGCACATGGCGAGGAGGAGGAAGCCTGAGAGAGAGCAGGTAGCAAGTTTATTCTCTGCTCTCCACTTCAGCACAGAAATGGCCTTTTTTTTAACCACTTAATCACTCCCTTGCCCTCTTCCCTGCTCCCACCCCGAGCCCCTGATCCTTACCCTGACCACCTGCCGCGTGCTGGTGATGAAGGCTTTCCTGATACCCAGCTCTGTCGCATCGAGGTTGAATTTCCTTGGGTTTGCCTCAACAATGCGTAGGCAGCGAGTCAAGGAGTCCTCGTTGGCACACAGACACACAAACCCCCAGCGTGCTGCAGAGCAGGGCTGTGCCTCTGCCCCAAATTTGATTAGCAAAGTATGAAATACTTTGGAGGGAAAAAACAGGCATGGCAGGAATCTACTGTGCAGAACATGCAGCAGTGTGAGGTTTCTCTCCTGCATTTTTGTGGTTCTCCAATGCTGTGCAGCATTTTCAGGAGTGTTCAGATGAACACAGGGAAAAGGAGTGTTTCCAGAAGCCTGACTACACCAAAGTCCAAATTCATACAACACAACAGGATTTTTAGAACAAAGCATCTTAGAATATACCTTGTCAAAAGGAAAACAAAAAGGCAAAAAGGAAAATCCTTTTTCTGACCACATCTGCCTTAATTTCTCATTTGCAGTTTGAGAGAAGCTGATGTCAATGCAAAATTCAATCCTAAACAGTCCTGATTTCTGCAAAAGGTAACTACAGGCAAGCACTGGTACTCAGGTATTTAATACAACCTGGGAACTGCAATCCCCAGTCTCCAAAGGACCACAGAAAGGATATTAATTGTTTCATCCAAGTCTTCCAGGTCCCACTCGATGCTCCGCAGGTTGTTCCTGAGTTCATTAGTGGTCCAGTCGATTTCTTCTCTTGTGGCAATGGAAGGATCTTGCAAGAGCTCTGTCCACCTCTGGAAGAGCCCCTGGGCAGTGTTCACGGCTTTCTGCACCTCCCTGCAGCCGGGGTGATTAAAGAGAAGCAAAGAGATCATCAGCAGTTGCTCCAGGACAGCACAGCTTCCTCCCAAACACCTTTCCTTCAAACAGTTTTTAGTTTATTTTATAAAATAAAGATTTGCTCTACCTGCTGGACAATCCCATCTCTCCTTGCAGCACAAAGTGCTGAAAAGCAACAACCTGCAGGTCAGCTATTAAGGCAGGGACCTATTTCTTTAGGGGAAGCTTCTGTTGAGTGTCACACAGGCAAGCCAGGACAGAGTGTCTGAACAAGGCAGTTCTTTGGCAATTAATGTTTTGCATTCCTCTCAACAGCTTTCCTCTGAAGACTATTGACTACCTACGTAAGATAGCCCAAGGGCACAGAGAATTACAGGAACTGTCCCCACAATACAGCCAGGCAGACTGTGGAGTGCAGCACTGTTTATTTTAATTCAGCATTTAAAAAAAAAAATAATACACAGCTCTACTACACTGGCTTAGGGAACAGAAGTCTTTTCTGCTGCTCTAAGCTTTTTGGAGACGAATGCATTCACAGCAGGGGAAGGCAGGCTTTGCTGACAGCACTGAACGCTGCTTGGATGGTTTGGGGCAAGTTTGGGTCTGTAAGTTTGGGTCATGGTCCATCAGTGTGGTTATCTGTATATATGTTAAAAGTCTGTGTTCCTGAGCTGTGAATGGCTCCCCCAGGTTCATGGGAAGCCAGGATGAGGGATCACAGATGAAACTAGACTTTGCTGGTGGGAAAGGTGGCCACTATGAGCCCAAGAGCTTGCACACAGCACCCATGTAAGATGCAGGTGTTGATTCCCAGTGAAGGAAAGCAGGTGATCAGTGGGGGAAGCCCAGGAGATGGACGAATTAAGCCCACACCCTGCTGGGGTGCCAGGACTGTCTTATGTTACACCATGGCCTGAAGTGCTTGACTTTGAGGTTGAAGCTGCAGCCTCCCAGCACCCTGACACACATCCCTCCCCTTCTCCCATGCCCACAGCTCCCACTCTGCCACATCTAGTGCCCTAAAGCCAGCAGGACCCAGCAAGCTTTGTTCCCTCCACTACTTGCTAGCAAAAGCTTGGGCTTTGGTTTGTTTTGGTTTTTTTCATCTGGGCACACTTGGGGAAGTTCCCACAAGCAGGAATTTAAAGCAGAGCTGGATGTCCTCAGATGGGAGGTGTTACAAACTCCAGGAAAGCAAACTGAACACAATGTGGACAGCCTCCACCAGCCCCTTCCACCCCAACCTGCTGGGTAATAATTAACTCCAGGAGTGGCAGCACATCCCCTCTCCACTCCCAGCCCTTTCCCACACAGTGCAGGAACCTCTCTGGAAAGTCTGACAGGACATTTGCTCCCCACCCACGGCGACTCATATTTTTTCCCCTTAGCACCAGTTCAACCTGGCAGAGTGATTCACTTTCCCTGGCTGCACCAGCATCCCTTCCCACACCTCCTGTGCTGCCATAGCTCTCCCCACTGCTCCCCTACGAGCGTCTCTGCTGCTCCTGAGCACTGTTTCGCTGCGATGTGGGGCAGGTGACAGCCCACAGCAGAGGCTGAAGCTGGCTCCAGGGTGGATTTTAGTCATTAAGGTGTTTTCACTGTCTTAATTACAATTTTATTTTCATAGAATCACAGAATGGTTTGGGTTGGAAGGGACCTTAAAGCTCATCCAGATCCAAGCCCCCTGCTGTGGACAGGGTTGTCAACCACTAGATCAGGCTGCCCAGAGTCCCATCCAACCTGGCCTTGAATGCCTCCAGAGATGGGGCATCCACAGCTTCTCTGGGCAACCCGTGCCAGTGCCTCACCATCCTCTGGGTGAAAAATTTCCTCCCAATATCTCACCTAAATCTCCCCTCTCTGAGTTTAAAACCATTTCCCCTTGTCCTGTCACCATCTGCCCATGTAAAAAGTCCCTCTCCCTCCTGTGTATAAGCTCCTTTCCAGTACTGTAAGGCTCCAATGAGGTCTCCCTGGAGCTCTCTCTTCTCCAAGCACAAGCAGCCCAGCTCCCTCAACCTTCCAACCTTTCCTCCTGCCTGGACCACCTTTGGTTTGCGTTGGCTTTTGTTCAGGCTCTTCTCCGCTTGCTTCCTCTCATGGCCACCATCCACGCTGCAGTTTCTTCCCCAGCTCGGTCCCTGCTCCCCTCCATCGTTCCCCCCGGACCCCACAGCCCTGATGTGCGGG